GGAGAGCTGGAGAGGGACTGGGGACAAGGGATGGAGGGACAGGGTACAGGGAATGGGGCAGAGTTAGATGGTATTTTGGGAAGGAATTCCTGCCTTTGAGGGTGAGAAAACCCTGGCACAGGGTGCCCAGAGAAGCTGTGGCTGCCCCTGGATCCCTGGAAGTGTCCCAGGCCAGGCTGGATGRGRTTTGGAGCACMCTGGGACAGTGGAAGGTGTCCATGCCCATGGCAGGGGTGGAATGGGATGAGCTTTGGGGTCCTTTCCAACCCAAAACATCATTTTTTGTTTCCTGCCCCAGCCTGCAGAGGCATCTGGCTTGAAGCTGCCAAAGATTCTGTAAATCCCAGCTCTATGAAAACTTCCAGCAACACTGCTCTTCCATCAGCACAGGAAAAAAAAAAAATCTATTTTCCTAATCAATATCCCTGGGTTGGTAAAACACTGAAACTGTGGATGCAATTTCAAGCAGCCAAAAAATTTCACTGCCAGTGTGCTTCCCCCTGCCAGGGTGATGCACAGCCTGGATCCCAAATCTCTGCTGCTGGAACAAGGTGTGCATCCAGCAGAGAGCAACTCCTCGATCCCACTAAATTCCCTGCCACRGGAACATCCAGCAGGGGCTAAATAACTTGGCTGTCTCTAATCCACGCTCAGATTGCAGTGAAATTTCCAGCCACCTGCAATATTTTTACACAAATGGCAAGTTTTTTGCTTTCTGCAGTGGATTTGGTACAGCAAGGAGRTTTCCTGCAAAAAGCTTTCTGTGGAAATCAGGCAGGTGGGGTAAAGAGAAGTCAAATAAAGCCAAGAAGCAAAACTCTCCCTGATCCATCTCGTTACTGGCAGAGCGAGATGGAAACAATCCAGAGCTCAGGATCCAGGTTTGGGATCCAAGAGAAATTCTGCATTTTTCYCTTCCWGTGCAGCTCAAAATGTRAGAACTGAGTGTGACCAAAAAACCCTGATGAAGTGTCCAAACCCATCAACTCCTTGCAGAATGAAGGATTTAAACACCCTGTGAGACCCCGGGATTTGGTGCTCTCACCTCCCAAAAAATTTGAGTTTAGAATTCCAATTTTATCAAACTCAAGGGCTTTTATGCAGTGGATAAATAATAGATAATGGATAAATGGATAATGGATAAATGGATAATGGATAATGAGAACTGCAAAGGTTAAAACTGCCCAATTTGCATGTTAGACCAAAACTAAGGCAAGGAAAACGTGATTTACCTGCAAATCTGTTCAGCTGAAAGCCCTGAAATCCRGGGGMAGCCCRCAGGACCCAAAYGGAAAGTTTGGATTCTCCTTCAGARCTCCCCATCCTCCAGCACYTCTGGATGCTGCCACGCTGAAAAATCCCAACCMAAACCAGAACAAATGTTATTTTGGCAGCCAGGAGCAAGCTGAGGGGAGAAACTCCAGAAACAAGTGTGAACCACTGACTTTGAGCACAAGAGAGCTGAACCAAAGCACGTAATGCAAATTCTGAAAGAGATTCCAGCCCCCAGAGCACAAACTCCACTCCCAGAAAATTTGGATGGTAGAAGTGGAGAGGATGGATTCGCCCATTCAGATCTTTTCTAAATTTTACCTTCCCCTTYCCCCTAACTTTTGCTCATTGGGGCATCAGGAATAAATAAAACTTCTGATTAAAGATCAGCAGCACCACTGAAACAGCCTGACCCAGCTGGCAGCACCAGCAGTGCCGTGAATGTTTGCTTTGAATCACATTGGTGCCTGGGGTTTACCAGCATTCCTTACAAAACTGCTGCTTTGCTGGAGTTTGAGCAGCACAAGCTCCTAATTTGGTTTTCTGCAGCAGGAGTGATTATTTTTTGGAAAAAAATTGGGGGTACAGAYACTGGAGTTGCTTCAAAAGGTTGGGGTGTGATGGAAGGTGATGGCTGTGTTATCAGTGAGGCAATGCTGGTAAATCCCACTGYACCTAAATCTTATTCAGCACCAAAAAAAAMCCCAGGAAAATAAAAAAWTTTAAAAACATCCTGAAGACTATTTTAAGAAAAATTGCAATAAATCAGAGCTCAACTGGAGCACTCTGTCCTGTTCAGCTCACAAATAACTACGTCAGCATCTCTTCTCCTCTCCAAATCCCAGAGATTTCCCGGCAGCAAAAGCAGATCCGACCTTTGAGAAGAACCTCGGGGTCATGGGAGAGTCACCCAGGGCAGCTCCACKGGATCCTCCTGCCCCACTGCAGYCTCCAGCTCCATCCCTGAGGAAAAAACACAGGGACTGCCCCCGAGACAGGAATGAGCCAAGAGAAACCGAAACTGAGCTTTTCCTGTGCTTTGTGAACCCTTCCTGCAGCTGTGGAAATCTGCAGCAGAGAAATGTCGGTGCCTCTGCCCCAGCATGGATCCCCAAATTCTACCGGCATTTTACCCCAGGGTGTCAGGGACTGCATCATGTCCCTTAGTGGGTTTAAGAATCTCAGATTTGGGCCAGCTCTGCTGTTTTGTAAATCGTGGAAGCCCAGGGATGTGTGGATTCCACAGATGTCCCCAGGGGAATCGTGTTCCACGCCAGCAGATCTGGCTCAGCTGCTGCCCCACACCCACCCCACACCACATTTGGGAGAGGATTTGGGTTYTCTGATGTGCAGCAGCATCTCCCATCACTTTGGAGATTTTAAATTCCAAGAGAGGAATTCTCCACCTTTCAAAGAGGTGATTTGCCAGAACCAAACCCAACACGTGGAGGACACTTTAAAAGGCAACCCATGTCCTCCACGGATTCCTGAGGCTCCGTGGAATTTCAGCTTTTCCTTTAAAGTCCTCACTTTAAAAGAGCTCCTTTTATCGTCTTCACTTCCAGCTCCTGGCCTGGGGTCTGTCCTGTCAGACAAGAGGCACAAAACTGGGTCTGCTCACAAGAAGACAAGGCTGGAGCRCAGGGGGATTGCAGCCCAGATGTTGCAAATACCAACACGTGCAACKCATCCCATCAATCCAATGGGAACTTCCATCAGCTGCTTTTGGCCCACTTATTTAAACAGGAAAATAAAAATAATTCAGGGATTGAATTCAAGCAAATTAAACCCCTTGTCCACTACAAGGATTGGAATTGGCTCTGGGAAGAAYGACCTACATGTGATTTCCTTACTGGAAATGCTGCCCAGGAAGAGTTAAAATAATTTAAAGGAAATATCTGAGGAATTCTTAGATGAGAACACATATCCTTTGCCTCCCGCCCACCTCCTCTAATGATGTTTTTCCCTGAGAAAAATCCCACAGCTTTAATAACAACCTTTTCTCCTGCAGGGTGGCTCTATGACTACACCCAGACCTAYGTCTGCTCCTTCCTCTTCGCTGGAGCCTGTGCTCTCATCTCACCTATYTCCTTCTTCTTCGAGCCTTCAGCCCAAAGATGGAAGCTAAAAAAAGCCAGTTTGAACAAGAACCCCAGGTCTGGMTGAAGTTTTAAAGGTTGGGCTTTGCAAAAGCCATTGCCTGCACTGGGAAATATCAAAGGTGGCAACACCGAAAATTGGAATTTTTGGCTGCCATTCAATTTGTGTATTGGGGTATTTCTCCTGATTAAAGCCAGCTGAGAAATGCACAGCACAGGGTGTTACTGGATGGGGAAATGCAGCCCGTGGAGCTGGGTTTCACTGCTCCTTTGCTCCTGAGCTGGGCTTTTCTGTCTCTCAGACTCGACCTTGCCGTGCTCAGCCCAACAGCTCYGTCCCTCCCTCCCCGAGCGGAGCTGACTCACCTCGAGGGATGAGCAGCCAAGCAGCTCCAGTGCCAGAGCACAGCCTGAAACTGCAGCTAATTCTGCTCAGACACAAAGGAGCAGCCCTGGGGAGGGCTGTGAGGGCAGGGACAGGGAGATAAGGATTGTACTTCCATGAGGAAAGGCACAACAGCTGCTCCATGAGCCCTCTCTCTGCGGGAAGGACGCTGCTCCATCTCCCAGGCGCTGTCATTTGCCACAGTGCAGAGGACCTGGAGGCAAAACCAGTTTTAATTAAAGCCAGAACTGCCACACAGCAAAGCCAGAGACCAAATCCCGCCCCCCTGAGCCTACTCTGCCCTTTTTCCCAGCTTCCCAACCACCCAGAGGTTCCCTGGATTCCACAAAGGCAGCTCCAGTGCGGAGCCTGCATTCAACCAACATCCCACAGATTGAATTTGGATTGGTAAAACACAACACARTAGCTTGGACTTTCTTTACAATAGTGAAGCTGTAATTTTTTTTGTATTATCACCAGATATCTGAAATTATTACATCAGTCTGGGATATTCATTCCAGGCATTGGCATCACCCTTCTTTTTACCTCTCTCTTTAAAAAAAAAAATTATTAAATTGTAAAGAGATTTAGCTACCCCTCGTTTTTTCTTGCCCCTTTTTTCTCCTCATCTCTTTTTTTAATATTAAGCCATCAAGAGTTGTTTCCCCTATAGAARCACTCCTTTAAAGCGTAAAACAGGTTATTTCCAGCCCAGAATGAGGTGGGCTCCATATTTAATAAAAAGCTCCAGAATATTTTAACAGTTTTAAGGAGCTCAAACACTGTYACAGGTAAGAAAGTTCCTCCACTTGGATGATGGGCCAAACTCAGCAGTTCCACAAGCACAAAGAASCAAAGAAACTGCTGAAATGAGGGAAAAATTACAGGGAATGGGGAATATCAGTGCTACAAAACAGCTCATTTCTCATAGGCTGATCCCCAGCTTCTCCCAGGAATCCGTAGGCACCAAGTGCTTTGGGAATGGTCCTTTCACACTTTAACCACCTTCCCTTCACACCTCAAATCTCAGCATCCAACACTCTGATGGGGATGGACCAGTTAATATCTGCAGCCAGGACAGGACCCAGAGAGGGCATTTCCCAAGCCAGGAGGATTCCTGGATAGGATTCCTATTTCTGAAGTGTTTAAGGCACTAGGAGTTCAGGAGGGAAGAACTGAACTCAGCCAACCCCACACTAAGATCTCAGCCAAGACCTCCTGCAGCAGGGATGAAGCTTTCATTTAAAAATTACAGTTTTCMCCTCTTGAAACATTAAAATTCCTCACTGTGCTGTCACCAAATCAAACATCACCAGCAGTTCTGGTTCACTGCTGTGACAGGAATGATGTGGGAGCCTCAGCTTCAGGTTTTCCTACCCTAAAGCTTTTAACCCCACTAATCCTGCACCTCCCTAAGAGCAGCGGTGCTTTTGGCTTTTAACAGAGTGACCACAGMAATGTGGGGATGGAAAGAGCCACCAGCTCCTCACCCTGCTGCTCCCACCCTGCACAATCCCAGCACCTTTCCCTGCACTCTGCTCACTTCCTCTCCCTGGAAATGAAGCCTCTGCTCAACACCTTCCTCCTTTCAACACCAGCCYTGTGATGTTTTCACCTCTTCTGCCACCAAGGAACAGCTTGGCAGCACGTGGTGTCCACACTTCCCATCCCAGCTGCTCCAGCAAACCTCCCCCCAAACCTCCAGGATTTTAAGGAGAATCCTCCCTGTCTCCCCATCAGACCAACACCAATTCCTTGCCTTTATTTAACAAAATGGGAGTGCTTGTCCCCCTTCTCTTTCCTTCTGCAGAGGAGCAAAACAGCTCAGAAGCTCCCACTTCCCACATCCCACCCCACAGATGGGCACCACCAGCCTTTATTTGCCCCCAAAATAACTCAGCACAGCCAAAGCACCTTTCTCCAGCCACAAGTACCTCTTGTCTATCCAAAAAACTGCTGAGGAAAGCAACGCTCACAACGAGAAACTCCTCCCAGGGGCCCTGCACCATCCTGCCAGCGGGCTGGGAGGGGGAGAAGAGTCTTCAAATCTTTGTCTCCGCAYGGCTGGTGGTCAAACACTTCTCTGCTCACGGCTCGTGCTGAGAARGCAAGCACAGAACAGATGGTTGAGCTCCCCTGGCAGCTCTGAGAAGGAAAGGCAGTGATTTACTCGCAGGATACAACACGAGAGGGAGCAGCAGTGAGCAGGAGGGAACCCCTCTACCCAAAAAGATTCCCCATCCTGATGGCTAAAACAGGGCTCACCTGAACCAGAGGCCAGACAAAGATAAGGAGAATAAAAGCAGGAAAATTTAATCCAGGCCTCCTCCTGAGGCTACACCCAAAACGGACCCCGAGTCACGAGATCTTCACCTTTTAACARTTCTGTCTCATGAACACATCGGGCCCCAATTCTCCAATGACACCTTCAGGTGATGGTGTCAGCTCCCCCAAGCTGCTCCCCCCAGTTCTCTGATGTTTCCATATTTTGGGGCTCTGAGGCAGTGAGGTGTCCTTGGATTTTAAGCCCAGAGAGGAATTGTTTTGTCTAAAGATGGGAGAACAGCTGCTGAACAGGAGCTCAGTGCTGCACACTAGGGAATTACACGAATACAGATCCATGAAAAATATAGAAATAAAAAAATCCTAAGGCATTAATCCCACTGAAGTCACCTCGCAGATCACTGCTTAAAACTGCTTTTGCACAATGCAGAACATGACAGGGTGTGTGAAATGCAAGACTTGCATCTTGCTTGAAATGCAATCCCCAGATTGCTGGGATGCAGATGGGGTTAAAAGCTGCACTCTGAGGTGGATTAGAAAATCCCTTTTGTCTCTACTGCCTTCACAGAATCCCAAAATCACAAASGTTGGAAAAGCCCTCCACGATCATGGGGTCCAAGCTGTGCCCAACCCCYACCTTGTCCCCAGCTGGAGCACTCAGTGCCATGTCCTGGGTGCCATTCCCTGGACCCCTCCAGGGATAGGGACTCCAAACCTCCCTGGGYAGCCCCTGCCAGCACCCRGCCACCCTTTCCATGCAGAAATTATTCCTGATAATGTTTCCTCTACTCAAGGGAAATTCTTTCCTTACTCATCTGCGGTAGAGAAAATGAGCAGTGGCTAAAAATGATCCTGAGCATGAAAAATCTTCGTTTAAATGCACTGCCCTCCCAGCCATCCCTTTTGGTGCTGGGAAAGCAGAGGAGAACCTGATTCCTCCTGTTTTCCACCCTCGTGTACGTCACAAGCAGCACCTTCACTCTTTGCAGGGGAAAAAAAATCACCAACAACCTCCTGGATCTTTCCAAGAACAAAATTTCACTGACAATAAACCAAACCCCTGGTAAAACTGATGTCAACCTCAGCACTGTGCCCTGAGTCACTTGGGGAACGTTTCCTGCYCATGCTCACCCTCTGCACAGGGGATAATGCATTGTGGTCAGCTGGATATGGATGGGAACCAGGATTCATTGGTTCAAAAACCATCTCAAATCCGTGCTGTAGATAAACCAAACACGGAAGATGTGTCCAAAAGATCCAGTGACCTGCAGGGAGCCTGGAAGGCATCTGAGGGACCAAGGAAACCACCTCCAATTTTCAATTTTTCACACTTTGCACTGGGAAGAATTCACCAACAACCTCCTGCATCTTTCCAAGAACTTAATTTCACTGACAATAAACCAAACCCCTCGTAAAACCAATGTCAACCTCAGCACCRYGCCCCGACTYACTTRGGGAAATGTTTTCCTGCCCAYGTGGGATAACGTGCTGTGGGTGGCTGAATTTTGATGGGAAACTGCATTTGGAAGCACTTTAACCCGAATTCATCAGTTTATAAATGGTCTCAAACCTGTGCTGCAGAGAAACCAAATGCTAAAGATCTCTCTAAAAGATCCARTGACCTGCAGGGAGCCTGAAAGGCATCMSAGGAACCAAAGGAACCCAAGGAAACGGCCTCCAATTTTCAATATTTTCACACTTTGCACTGCAAAAGGAATCACCAACAACCTCCCGATCTTTCCAAAAACAAAATTTCACTGACATTAAACCAAACCCCTGGTAAAACCGATGCCAACCTCAGCACTGTCCCATGAGTCACTTGGGGAACATTTCCCTGCCCACGCTCACCCTCTGCACGTGGGATAACGTGCCGTGGTCGGATGGATCTTGATGGGAAATGGGATTTGGAAGGATTAACCAGGAAGGATTAACCACTTTAACCAGGATTCATTGGTTTAAAAATCGGCTCAAATCTGTGGTGCAGAGAAACCAAATGCTGAAGATCTCTCCAAAAGATCCAGTGACCTGCAGGGAGCCTGGAAGGCATCCGAGTGACCAAGGAAACCACTTCCAAATTTCACTGTCTCCACACTTTGCACTGGAAAGAAATCACCAACAACCTCCTGCATCTTTCCAAGAACATAATTTCACTGACAATAAACCAAACCCCTGGTAAAACCAGTGTCACCCAGGGAAATGTTTTCCTGCCCATGTGGGATAACGTGACACGGCTGGCTGGATCTGGATAAGAAATGGCATTTGGAAGCATTTTAACCAGGATCCTTTGGTTTAAAAACTATGTCAAACCCATGCTGCAGAGAAACCAAATGATAAAGATCTCTCTAAAAGATCCAATGACCTGCAGGGAGCCTGAAAGGCATCTGAGGAACCAAAGGAACCCAAGGAAAYGGCCTCCAATTTTCAGTATATTCACACTTTGCACTGCAAAAGRAAWCACCAACAACTTCCTGGATCTTTCCAAGAACATAATTTCACTGACAATAAACCAAAACCCTGATGCCAACCTCAGCACTGTGCCATGAGTCACTTGGGGAACATTTTCCTGCCCACRCTCATCATCTGCACGTGGGATAACGTGACATGGCCAGCTGGATATGGATGGGAAATAGCATTTGGAAGTACTTTAAACAGGATTCATTGGTTTAAAAATCAACTCAAATCTGTGGTGCAGAGAAACCAAATGCTGAAGATCTCTCCAAAAGATCCAGTGACCCAGAGCTCACTGGAAGGCATCCGARTGACCAAGGAAACCRCTTCCAAATTTCAATATCTCCACACTTYGCACTGGAAAGAAATCACCTTCCTGGATCTTTCCAAGAACATAATTTCACTGACAATRAACCAAACCCCTGATAAAACTGATGTCAACCTCAGCMCYRTGCCCCRACTCACTTGGGGAAATGTTTTCCTGCCCATGTGGGATAAYGTGACACGGCTGGCTGGATCTGGGTAAGAAATGGCATTTGGCAGCACTTTAACCAGGATTCTTTGGTTTAAAAACRGTGTCAAACCTGTGCTGCAGAGAAACCAAATGATAAAGACCTCTCTAAAAAATCCAGTGACCTGCAGGGAGCMTGGAAGGCACCTGAGTGGCCAAGGAAACMCAAAGAATCAGCCTCCAATTTTCTATATCCCAACAAAGACCTGGTACAACACCTGAGTCCCTTTGGAAAAAAACACCTGAACAACAGAATTTAGATAATTAGTTTTCTGAGCACTAACAGACAGAGGACTGATTCCCTGAATCTTGATTAATTTTAGCATCACAGGATTAAGAAAASAAGAAGAAAACATGGAATTGGCTTCTCCAACAAAACACAGCAGTTATGGGTAACTCCTGGGTTTGTGTTATCTGAACAAGTCGGGCTGCAYGGGGGCCACCCTTCCTGGGGAGGAAATGCTTTTCCACTGCAAGTCAGGGATTTATTCCYAGGTGTAATCCCGAAAAAGGAGCCTGGGCAGCCTCCAGGACCTGCTCCCAGAGCCTGCCAGGATTGATTTAYGGGGTGGGCACCTGCTGGGTTTTAAACCCGCTTCAAGTGATGCTCCACATGCAAGGATAAAGAGCTGCTAAGCCTCAGCTCGGGTCTATCAAAGCTATGGAAGTTGGTGCAATTGGAGATCCCATCAGGAATCACACTGCACCCCCCATTCCAACCAGGATTATTTTATATTATTATTTTATTATTTCATTATTTTATATTATTATTTCATCATTCTATATAAAAATTTATTTCCCATTACTAATTATTTTATTTTATTAATTTATTTTTATATTACTAATTATTTTATTAATTTATATTATTATGTMATTTTATATTATTGATTTATACAGTCCCTGTACACCCCCCTGAGTGTCCTGGTTGCCAGCTGCAGGTTTCCCTTCCTTGTTCTTTATTCTGGGTCGTTGAAAGTCAGGACAGAGCATTTAAAACACGGATTTAGCCCTTCCAAAATACASAGAATAAACCTCTCCCTGCCCTGCGCTCTCTGTGGTCAGGCTCTGCATGACCATAATCTACTAAAAACCAAAGCTGTGACTTTCCCAGCGCTCCTCAGATGCCAAGGGCTGATAAAGCCAGCACTGGGCACACAGGAAGTTGACCCTGATGTTCATCATATAATAAGGACAATCTTTATCTCACCATGAAATCCGCTCCAAGGACTAGGCTGGGATTATTTYGGTTCTTTCTTGAGCTCTGGGTTTGCTTGGAGAGCTGGTGGGGAATCACATCCCCACCTCAGGGGCTGAGACCAGGCTGAGGGGCAAGAATTTTGGGTTTACCCCATTCCCTGGGATCTCCCTTGGACCCCTTCCAGGCACCTCGGTGGTTTGAACCCAAACCCACTGCAAAGCTGCTCGTCTGCGGTGCCACCCCAAAACAGCAGCTCCCAGCATGCCCATTAACCACAGGGGGGAAAATCGACATRATTCCCATTTTAAAGGGCAACAAGAGGCTTTTTCCCAGCTGTGGCAGCACAAAACACACCCCAGGCAAGGTGCTCCAGCTTCCAACACCACTGGGGTTTTTAAGTTTACATTGAGCCACACGAAAAAAACCCAAAGCAATTTCAAATCGCTGGGTAAGGATGTGACAACAGAGCCTTCCAGCGACAGGAAACGTGGCTGCTCTTCCCTTGTCCTGTTTGGCAGATAGCACGTGTGGTTTGGGCTGTTTACTCGCCCTCACACACACTGATAACAGGAACAGTTTTTTTTTTTTGGTGCTGGTTTCCCCTCTTGCCTAGAATGCGTCCTGCAGCCGTGTTTACGATGCAGAGCGTTATCAGGCTGCGATTCACCAAAGGCTGAATTAAAAAGTTTCCCTTCCCAAGCAGCTGAAAGGCTTCATAGGAGGTGGGATTGTTTGGAAAATAATAATAAAAACCTTTAAGGATATGATAACGGTTTTCAGGGAAGTCTGTTATGGGAATTTATCAGCAACTAGAATAAAATAAATAAAATCAGCGACTTGACTTGAAYAAAAATTAAAGCAGATGTTTGAAAACTTGGAAATTTTAGCTTTAGCTGAGATTCCCATGGGAAAACTTCCCGGCCTGCAGAAACCACAGAGGGGATGGGAGCTCTGGCTCATGGCCACAGACAATTCCAGAAGTAATTCACGGGTCAAAGTCTCTTTTCCAAAGCAGACTTTGCCTCTGAAGCCACCACAGAGCTTTGCAAAACTTTCCCCTGCAGATACTCCTCACGTGGGYGAGACAGAGCCAGGATTGCACTCTGGAAGGAAGAGGCAAAGGGTGCCTTTACAGCACCCCAGGGGCAAACAGAACACCAATAAACTGAGCTCTTTGGTCACACTGGGAGGGACCCACAGMGACCCTGGCTGACASAGGGGTGGTCACAGGGATGGGGAATTTGGGATTGGGCTCTCCCAGCCTGTGGGGATGCAGCTCTGGGTGCCACRAGGAACAGCAAAGGCACTCTCAGATATCTCAGAGCTCAGAACGTGCTACACCTCAGTGCCAGAGGGGAAAGCTGGGCTGAGAGAGGTGAAACACGAGGTGTCAGAATCACAGAACCCTGGAATGGTTTGGGTGGGAAGAGACCTTAAATCTCATCCCATTCCACCCCCTGCCAYGGCAGGGACACCTTCCATTGTCCCAGGCTGCTCTGAGCCCCATCCAGCCTGGCCTTGGACACTCCCAGTGATCCAGGGGCAGCCACAGCTTCTCTGGGCACCCTGYGCCAGGGCCTCCCCACCCTCACAGGGAAGGATTTTGTCTCAGTATCTAACCAAAATTTCCCCTGTTTCAGTAGAATCTACTCCCCTTTGTCCTGTCACTCCAGTTCCTGAATGAAGASCCCCTCCTGCATTCTTGTATAGTCTTGTCTTCATCCACCCAAGAGGAGCAGCACAACAAACACCAACACCCCCTTTTCTCACCATGTGCTCCCTACAAGTCTCAATGACAGCACCTCGGGTGGTTCCCGACCTCATCCTGCCCTGAACCTCTGCCCAGGCCAGCGCTGGAGCAGCTCAGGCTGGCAACAATCAAAGCAATCCCTTGGCCAAGGGGGCTGCAAACACCTCCGTGGCCCAAAGCTCATCTCTCCGCGGGCAAACAGAACCCAACAAACACCCTGAGAGACCTCGCTGGCTTCCCTTCACTCAAAGCCCTTCTGCACCCCTCGTGTGCCCTCAAACCCACACTGGTGTCCTCAAASCCACACTGGTRTSCTCASACACACCTAAAATGTYCARCTGGACAGGCTGGAAGCRCAGCACGTGCATCTGAAAGGAGATYCYGGCTGGAGGATCCGATTCTCGCCTGCACAAAGGGCACAAACACCAGGGAAAGCTGCCAGCTCGRGGCTGGGTCAAGCTCTGTGTATTGCTAAATGTTGGCCTGACCTATCACCGGATCTGGGGACAGGAAATACTGAAGGCAGCTAAAAACCCCCAGCCCGATGCTCAGATCCAATTGCAGAACTGGGTATGAAGGTCAAGGCAGGCAGATAAGGAGATGAAACAGCCGTGACCCACAATTAATCTGCAGCTCATCGGCTCAGCCGTGGAACCGGCCACATCCCATTCCCATCCTGGGACAACACACAAGCTCAAACCTGAGAGCCTGGGCTGGGAGGGGGTAAACCATAAATGCACAGCAAGAGCAGCACAGSATCCACATCCCTGGGCTCTAATCATGTTTAAACCCTAATTAACACAGCCCTGGAGTGGGATGCAAAGGGTGGAAAAAGCAGGGGACTCTTGTGCCAGCAGSCACGTTCTGTACTGCTGCTGCAGGCACCTCCACCAGCACACGGACAAAGAGGATGAACGGCAGCAGGCTCCTGTCAAACCCATCACGCCACGTGCAGCTGAGCCGGTCCCTCAGAGCTTTCTCTGCCTCGGGAGTTTACCTCACCCAGTTCCCAAGGCAGCTCTAATTACACTCAGGCACAGGGCTGCGAGCCAAGAACCGCAGGAGACACAACGGGAATCACAAAGCCATCAGCCCAAGAGCCTTTCCACGGCTTCCCCTGGCCTTTCTGCCTGTTTGACCAAACCCCGCTCGCTCTTCGCCCCAGACCCAGAGACGGGAGTGCATCCTCCAAGAGCATTTGCCATTTCATAGTAAAGCAGCAGCATGAGGCCAGCACAGGCTCGTTATTGGCCAAGAGCGGAATCTGGGCCATCTGATGTTTTAAACTTATTAATTCAGCTGCAGCTGGTAAAAGCACAGTTCTAAAAAAATGTGTGAATTCAAATAACCGGCTCCCATCTAATCCGCTCCCATTGCTCTCTGCTGCAGTGCAGTTAATTAAATGGTTCTTGTTATAAATCCACTTTCCCCAGAAGTCTCATTAGCCAAATTAATATGATGCATAAAGAACACTTAACCCTTCCRAAAGACTGGTTTTAACAACAGCCTGGCTCTACCTGGAACATCTCTCCACGCCCTTCAGGAGGCACAGGGGCAGATCCAGCCCTCGATAAACAACTCGCTAGCGCAAAGCGACTGTAGGACAACCATCCCACACCGCATCCCACCATCCCTCCAAGTCTCTGGAATAAATACATCATTTACAGGAGACAAGGAACCATCTCCCAGTTAAACAGACATGGAAATCTGACTCAGAGAGGCAGAACTCTTCTGGAACAGCCACTGACACTTCCAAGCACACCCAAAAAGTGYGGTAGTGTCCAAGCTGGACACAAACAGCTGGAAACCTGAGCAGGTGAGCAGCTTGCTAAAAACATCCCCTTTATTTGGGTACACTCAGAGATCATCTATCTCCTGTCAGCATCAACCCCCCAGCCCAGGCAAAGRGGCTGAAACAYATCTCCTGTGACTGCCACCAGCCCYAGACCTATTGTCCAACACTTCAAAGCAGTAGCTCAACAGCAAAAGAAATACATTGCAAATAATAGGAATTGTAACTACAAACACAAACTTCTAGAACAAAAAGGCATCTCCTGAGTCTCCCCTCTCCAATTCCCTTCCCTCATTACCAGCAACAGCTACAATTGCTCCCATTTACAACAAACAGCTTCATTTAAATGATTACACCAGCATCCCATAAACACAGATAATTTGCCAAATCATTGGCTTGGTGTTCCTTATCAACACAACAAATGATAACCACCATTCTGGGTTAAAGCTGTGTTAACTCAAGCAGTTCATGAAGTCAGAATCACAGCTCCAGCTCGCCAAGCTGAGAACGTGTGGCTTTATCCGCACGGCCCCGTTGGTTAACGGGACCCCCCAAAAAACAGGGAAGCACTTCCAAGGTTCGGCTCCTCCGCTCCCATTCCCAGAGGAAGAAAACACRTTAGTAAGAGTTAGTCAACTGGAGAATCAAGGCAAAAATAAAAGGTGAACAATCTTCTTTCACAATACAATTATTCAGTTCAACCTCCTCCAGCCCCTTACCTGTTTTAGGGATTTACACAGCGCTTTGCCCCGGGAAACAGACGCCTCGCAGAGCGCAACCACAGCGTCCGTCGGCTGAGAGGCATCTGCAGCCTAGCAAAGATCYTGCCCGGGCACAGGGGTTCTCCACGGAGGTAAAGCATGTCAAAGCAAACAGGGCAAGCTGCCGTTCACGGCATCTTCATGGCACATCACACCAACTCRACAGCACCGGAGCTCCCGAAGCCGACGATGCAGCGGTGGCAGCTTCCTCTCGACGGCCGCCGTCCTCCAGACGCTCCCCAAAGTCTCCGGCGGCAAACGCGGCGTTGTGCTCCTGCACGGGAACRGCTTTCCAAAGCTCGGGAGCCCCCGGGACAGGAGAACTACAGTGCACGAGGTTTTCGGGCTTCTCCTGTCCCCAGCTGCGCTACACCGGGAGCGGCTGCACGGAGCGCGCGGCGGGGCCGGGACGCGAGCAGGGCACATGCACATCCGAGGCGTGAGGCTTCGAAACCGGTCAAAATAAGGCACTGAGACACCAAGCAAAGGTTTAAATTACCGCCTCCAGCTCTCAGGAACTCTTCATCCATTCAGCACTAAACCCACAACTGCTGAAAAGCCCCTGGAGATGGAGGAGCGCCTCGCGTACGGCRGGAAAGGCTTTATTAACAGCATTTAAACACTTTTAAGGACTCATTTCTTTTTCTTTTGGCAATTTTTGGTGCAAAGGTTTTACGTGCAAGATTCAAAGCAATTTCGAAACTCTTTTTCTTCAAAATTAAAAAAAAAACAAGAATCAAAACTAAAGGCAAACATGTTGGGTGAACAAAATAAATCAGAAACTTAAAATTCAGGAACTCCGGCTCTTCCAACCAGCGAAGCCCCAAACTTGGCCACCGTTCCGAGGCGCAGGGCRGTGCTTCCCTGCTTCTTGCGTGCCAGCAGCAGCACCGCTGCCCCGTCCTGCTGAGGAGAAACGCAGCAAGCGACCCCTTTTTCACTGCAAACACGGGGGCCACAGCAAGGCAATCAGCTACAAATTCTTCTGACTGGTACCACAGGTCGGTCAACGCGAAAAGTGTCGGTGCTCTCCCTGCTTCTTGCTCAAGACCCACAACTATCAGCTCAATTGGGCAGCAGCAGCAGGAACCCCTCCGCTGCCAACACAGGGGGGCCAAAYGTTTGTCGTCAATTCACTTCCAGGCAGAAAAACCATTTTCCTCAAAAGAAACAATTTATTTAGAATGAAACAAAATCAGCTCAACTGTGAGCGCATGTTTGAGTGACAGCTACTTTTAAGCTGTGTGAGCCATAAAAAGGGTATTCCTTTACTTTTCCAGCAATCTTGTGTACACAGCACAAAGCAAAGAGGTCATTTTTTTTTCCACTTAAAACACGGGCATTGGCATCACAATAGCAGATACACAACTTTTTTTTTTTTTTTTTTAAAGCTGCCATTTTAGTAAAATGCACAAATACTAAACAGATAAGCTTTCTTCCATCAGGAGGCCCATGTAAATTCCACATAAGCCACAGCTTCTCTTTCCAAAGGTCCATTAGAGCTTGGTATCCCATGCGGTTGTCTTCTGCAGTCCACCAGCTTTGCTTGCAGGAGGAAAGAAAAYGTTATTTCAATACAAATGTGTACACCAGATTTGGGTTTTTCCCCTCCCTACATTATACAGATGAACATAAAGAGCTACCAGGCCTTTCTGAATACTCTACTTGGACTTCAAAAAAGCACCAATACCACCCACGGGCAYGAAACCTCGGAATGGAGTCGCCTTCAAGGGATAGATGCAAAACAAGTAGTGCAGGGCTTCTTTTTTGGACCAGGATTAAACTAGGCTTACAGTACTGATGATTACTCAATTTGCAGTAACATTTGACAGGGCACATTGAAATCATCAACCAGGAGAAAAACCAACCCAATTCTYGCTAATTCGGTTGGCTTTCCTCACAGGGTATTTCCTGAAGGCAACTTATCAACAAAACCATGAAATGTAGTGTTACACAGCTCTTCTGCTCTCGTTTCGCTGCGCAGTTCTAATGGCAGGCAATGCCAATATTAAAGAAAAGGTCAAATCAAAGACACGCCCAATAGAATTTAAAATCGTTACTATTCAAGTCATATTTCTCAGCCATCGTTTTCACACAATCAGAACTGCAGGAAGATGAATATTCAACGAACCGTTCTCTGCACCACCCGGTCTGCTTTAAGCCTGATACAAAAATCACCTCATTGTTCAGTCTATCAATCATTGGAATATCTGTCCTAGAAACAAATAAAYGGGGCGACAAAGGGGAAAGAACCCCAAAAGCTCTAGAGCCACATGGCAACCATTTCTTCCCCTCTGGGTGCACAGCACTCCCCAGGAGCGCTGCCCTCAACACTGTTTTGTTTAGAGCCGGGAATTATCATTTTCCAAGCCGTTTTTCCCTGAGTCCTCAGAGTTTTAGAACCTGTCTTCACAATTTTGATTCACTCCTCCTCCCCATTAATATCTCAGGCCTTTCACCTCAGTTACCATCAACCAGAGGGTTTTTCCCAAACCCATGCAAGAAATTAAAACTCATTCTCTGCTCTCCACAGGGGCCGAGAAAGTTGTCACCAAAATATTCCATCTCTAACATCCTTGTAGGAAACAAAAGCGAGAGAGGGTAAGGTTTGCGTGCCTGGCAAGAACACCCTTTTCTCTCTGYGCGGCTGACAAGGATGTGTCGATATTTGCACCCCAAAAACCTCTGGATTGAGGATAACCTCGGTGTTCCCGCGGCAGTAGCTCGCCAGGAGCAAACAAAGCCGCTGGCCGGCGGCCAAGGGAGTTGCGCAAAATTTCCAATTGRAAGAAATAAAACAACCAACTAAAATCTCCAACAAAACCACGAGTCATTTAAGGTTCTTTCCCCAAAGCGTAAAGCACAAGGATGAAATGATTCAGGAAAAGGACATCCTTTTTCCAGGCTAATTCAACACACGAATGAAATAGAAGAACATCAGCTGCACACAAGGTCGGGAGGGAATACTGAGCTCTCGCCGGAGCAACGTAATGCCAGACATGAGGAGAGAGCCAACAACTGCTACATCTGGTTTGCTCTACACACAGTGGTATCACCCACAGGCTTCTAAACCTTCAGCCCTGGCCAAAGCCGACTTCAGTGGACAGTTACTCCAATGGGGAACACCTCGGACCAAGGAGGAAAGCACGGTCTGCCCAGCTGCACCGGCCGGGATCGCAGCACGGGAATTCAGTGCTGGCAAAAAAAAAAAGCTGCCAGTCAAGGGTTCGCCACAAGAACCCTCAAAGGGTATTAAAATCCTTGCTTACAAAACAGAGCAGCAACCACAAATAAACCAGGTTTAAAGAAGCAGGTGCTTCATTAAATAAGGAACCAGAAAACCTGGAGTCAAGCACAGCCTCGCCCGCTCCTTCTCGCCCTCCAGCGCAGCACAATTTAACAGYCAGCAGCAGGTGGAATCACCGCAATTTCCCAAGGGAAATGGAAGAGCACCTAAAATGCCCTTCCCAAAAGGCCTTCCCAAAATAAGCTGGCTTTGACAAGCTACGTTGACCCCAAGTTTTACAGGTTTTTAAGCAGGTGCCTGCTGTGGATCAGCGGAACAAATGCTGCTCTCAGCGACTTTGAGCGCCCAACACAAACGTTAGTGCTTTTTTTTTTATCCTGGTGTTGGGCAGATTTGAATTCCCAGCCATTCAAGTCTCATTCCTAGAAAACTCTTGCAAGTTATTCCTGTCAGATGCAATGMGAAAGCTCCCTCTGAGTACAAGCAGCACTTGCAGCATTGATCACCTGCTGACACACAACAGGCACCTGCTCCAATTAAAACATTCTTTGCAGTAAGTGGTAAATAYGCTGTATCTTCTTCAACACAATGATTTGCATTTCTGGTGTCATTCCCAAAAATTCTCGTTGTTAATAGTAAGCTGAACAGCTGAATTCTGCCATCTCTTACATTCACGTTGAAGGACAACCCAGAAATCCTGGATTTCACCCTCAAATTTAAGAGCATTAAATGAGGCTTTCACCTTTTCATTTAGAAAAAAAAGTAGCTATAAAAACCAAATCTATGTTCAAGATATGCTGCCACACTGGAATTCTCAATTCACCGTGATGTTTGGGATACTGTGTCCACTCATTCTGGACAGATAAAGGAATCAAAGCCCTCTTAAACCACAGCCCTCTCTGACAAGTGGTTCAGTAACAAAAATTCCTATTTTCGTGACAGAAACTCATGCAAGTTCAGTTACACCCATAAAATACATTCAAGACATTTCCTCCTCCATCTCCCATTCGCATCCTATTCCACACTTTGATTTTTGCCATGCAAGCAGTAACAGAAATCAATTCATCCCTGCATCAATCACCCAAGGAATCTATCGGAGCATGGACCGAGTGAGGCAGCGTCACTTTTCCATTGCCCAAATCCCTGAAAACATGGCTAAGTGCAAGATTACATTCTGGGTTTAAGTGCAAGATTACAATTTTGGGGCCAATACAGTCAGATTTACACTTCAGTTTAGAAGCTGCTGCAACATCCTTTTGTTTGTTAAACAGAGTATCAGGGAATCAGACCCCATCAGGGATTGAGATCCCTTCTTCCCTCCTAAATGCCTGGATTACCAAAGTGGCCAAGACAGCTGGAGAAAAGTGCCCAATGATTGGGAAAAAAATATGAAAAAATTAACTATGCTCTTTGAAGAAAAAAAAAAAAAAAAGAAAAATTTTTCATCCTTGAATCACAAGAGCTCAAACCTCGGCATCTCGGAATTTCTCAGAGATGCTAAAACCACTTTACTCCAGGTGCCCATGATAAACCTCATGTAATGCCCGCTGCACTGTACCTGAAAAGTCCCTAGCAGACAGCAGTTCCTTGCTATTAACAAAGAGGTAAAATGTTAATGAGAACTTTTGTGTAATTAAATTATCACAGAATTAAAAGCATCTCTGGAGAGAAGCACTTACTTGCTCAGAGTTTGCACTGTGGAACCAGACCCCACTGAACCTGCAACTCTTGGAAAACAACAAAAAAAAAAAGGCAGTAAAACCAAAACCCCACAATAAAACTCAAGTTCTCCTTAAAGCACCTCCTGGTTTCCTGCACACCAGAGTGAGCACAAGACATTCCTGGTTTGTAACAAAGTCCTCAGCTCTTCACCAAACCTTGTCACTGCTACAAACCCAAAGTGCACATATGGGATACACYGGGAAATGGGGGAAATACACCTGTTAAAAAGCCCAGTTTCAGTGCATGCACCTGGATGAAAAAAGGAATCCCTTTCCAAAAAGGAATTCAGTGTTCTGCTGTGTACCCGAGAGCAGCTGCTGCTCACCTGAAAAACGTCGACCTTGAGCCACGCGACTCAAYGGGGAAACCACTGAGGCTCCCGAGGGAAGGGATCCCACGGGCCAAAGGGCCGCTGGCCTGAGGCCGACACGGAATTTCAAGGACTCAAAAGAGGAGCTGACACCAGTCTGTTATTAAAGTGTGGTTTTCCATTTCCACTGAGTGCTTTAAATCTGGTCTGTTCRGTTTAGAGCTCTCTCGAGGATGAGCTCGTGGGACTTGCTTTAAAATACATGAAATGAAAAAAGGACATGAATCAAAATCAAGAAGACGGGAGCTTTTCTTTTCCCCCCTCCCTCCCCACCCCAGTTTTTCTTATTTTTCTTTTCTATTTTCTGTAAATCAAAGCAGGCTGAGCCTCCCTGCTGTCCCCACTGATAGGGAATTCTCAAAATATCCTATTCACGCTACTCCTAACCAACCTCTCTGGCTTCTACCTTTATAGAAAAATGTAGTAACAGAAAATCGGGCCGGGAAAGTCACCTACAAACAAAGATCTAATTAAAATAACGACAGGGCTGGCTAAGGCTGTATCCCATAGCACCTGGCACACGCTGGAGGGGCTGCGTGGAGGAGTAGGCAGGGTTGGGAACAGAACACGAGGGCCTTAGGATGCCCCACGGACAATGATCATGACCAGATAGTCGTCCTCTGATTTGGCCAATGCTTTGGCCGTGGAGTCCAAGAACTGCTGGGAGAAATCGCAGGGCGGGAAGGCGTGCAGGACCCCGCTGTTCTCCTTGTCTTTGTTCCCCCCCACAGGGAGGCTGATCACTCCAGCAGCCTGCTTTTGCTTTAGGTAGGACACCAGATTCCTGAGCGGCCTCTGCGTGGAGGTGGTGGCGGCCCCGGCAGCTCCGGCTGCGGAGCGGTTGTCTGAGGCGCCGGGCACAGCCAGAAGGATGGCGTAGCCATTGGGCCCCGCCACCTTGATGCGCCGGTTGACCTCRTCCAGCTTGGGCTGGTCCAGACGGAGACGTTGGGTGATCTTGAGCTGAGCCACTTTGCCCCCTGTCGCTCCCTCCACGAGGAGGCTGCTGGCGACTCCGAGGTCCCCCTGGAGCAGGTGCATGTTGGACGGGAAGTTGCTGTTCTTCAGCAGGAGCATCCCCTGCCAAGCCAAGCAGAGCTTGGGCGCCGTCCCGGCCTGCGCCGCTCCGTCCTGCTGCTGTTTCTGTGGAGGAGGTTTGAGCCGGGAGCCTCCGCCGCCTCCCTCCGCCRCCCGCTCGTCCTTTTTGGCCGGACTTTTGCTCTCCTGGGCGGCGGCGGTGGCGCGATGCTTCCGCTCCCGCTCTGCGGAATTCTTGCGGTCGCGCTTTTCATTCTGCCCCCGCTCCAGGCTGCCCCGGCGGGACTCCCGGACAGGGGAAGGTCGCTCCAAGAGGAGCAAGCGGGAYGAGCGCTCGGGGTCACTACTGTAACGCTCCCGGCCTCCGAGGAGCTCGGGGCTACGGTCCGGGGGAGAGGTTGTGGCCAAGCAGTGGCGCTTTCGGGAGGAAGAGGAGCGCTCRCTGTCGGGAGAGCGGTCCAAGTGCCGGCCTCCATCCTCCGCCAGCCTCCGTTTCCTAGGCTGATCCCTACTGCTACTGCCCAGYTCCCTCTCCCCGCGGTCCCGCTCCAAGGACCACCCGTCCCGGCGGCGCTCCAGGCTTTCCAGTGGGTCATAGGCAGCTGCCCGATTACTCCTGTCCCGCACAGGGGGCGGYGGGGGCACCCACTCTGTCTCGGGATAAAGGTCTCTGTCACGGTCTCTATAGAGCAACGGTGGTGTCCTGTCCCGGGCCCCCCGGAGAGGGTCGGGGGGTGCTCCCCGGTGAGCCCCAAAAGCAGCCGCCTCCGCCACGAGCTCGTAATGAGCCGGGGGCGGCAAGGGCAAAGGCTGCAGGTAGGGCTGCTGGTACCGATGCTCCGTGTCRGCAAAGTCTACGCGGAGCCGGCGATCCGGCCCCCCCAGGGGAAACCCCCGCATGTGGGTGCAGGCTGCCTGCGCCGCGTCCAGGCTCTCGTACTGGATATAGGCCCAGGAATCCCCTTTGCGGTAATCRATCGTGCGGATGGTGCCAAACCGATCAAACTCCCTGGCCAGGGCAGCCAGGGGCACCCAGGGCCCCAGGCCACCCACCCAGAGCCGGGTGGTCGGGGTGGCCTTCCCGTACCCGATCTTGATGGGGTTGCGCAGCAGCACCTTCCCTGACATGGCCAACTTGGCCCGGTGCGCCATGTCCAGATTCTCAAACTTAAGAAACCCATAGGTGCTGGTCTGCCCACGCCCCGGCCTCTTGATGTCCACCTCGGTGATGACCCCGAAACGGTCAAACGCTCGCCGCAAGTCCGACTCGCTCACGGTGATGTCCAGGTTGCCCAGGAACAGCGTGCGGTTGGCTCTCTGGTCATCCTCAGGGCTGATCTCCTCCTCGCTGGCCACTCCGGCACCTCCTCCTCCTCCTCCCCGGAATCCCCCGGCCGCCGCCACTCCGGCCACGCGCTCCAGCCCATAGGCCGGCCGCACCCGCGCCTCGTAGAAGCCGTAGTCCCGCTCCCTCTCCAGCTCCCTCGGCAGCGGCGGCGGCGGCGGGAGCCGGCCCAGGGCGAGCTGCTGCAGCCGGTARTCCCGGTATCCCAAGGCCCCGCCGCTGCCCGCGGGGGACAGCGCCCGCTGCGCGGCCCCGGCCGGCGGGTGCCGCACGGCCGCCGCTACCGCCCCGACCGCCGCCGTGCCGTAGGGAGACTCCTTGTCCAGCAGCGCCGGGGAGCGGCTGCCGCGCCGGCGGCCGCTGCCTCCGCCGACATAGACGGCCTCGATCTTGAGGGGGCGGTCGTAGAGCACGAGGCGGCCGCGGGCGTGCTTGGCGGCGCGCGCGTCCTCGGGCCGGCGGAAGTTGACGAAGGCCACGCGCTCGTCGGCGGCGCCGGCGCCGGGCGGGAGGCGGCTGATCTTGACGCTCACGTCGCCGAACCGCTTGAACTCGTGGAACAGCCCGTCCTCCACCGCCTCGTCGCTCAGCGCCGAGCCCAGCTCGCTGATCTTCAGCGTCTTGTACTCGCCGCCGCCCGGCTCCGAGGAGGAGGAAGAGGAGGAGGCGGCGGCGGCGGCCGCCCGCGATTCACCGCCGCGGCTGCTGCTGCTTCGCGACGCCTCCGCTGTTTTACCGCTGTAGCCGTGCCGGCTCCCGCCGCCCGCAGCCGCCGCCGAGCCCGTGTCGTACTCGCGGCTGCCGGCGCGGCCGCCCTTGTCCGTGTGGGTGCCGCGCCGGCCGCTCCCGCTGTTGCTCTCGCCGGACGCCGACACCGCTTTCCCGCCGTTGGAGCCGCCGCCTCCGCCGGACGAGCCGCTCGGCTTCTTGCTGCCGCGCGAAGAGGAGGAGGAGGACGCCGAGTCCTCGCCGCCCCGGGAGCGCTTGGCCTTGGCGGGCGAGCGCTCCTTGCCCTTCATGGCGGCGGCGGCCGCGCTCCCGCCGGGCCTCCCCGACCGCCCCGCTCACGCACCCGCCGCCATCTTGGGAGCCGCGCCGGCAGCGCGCGCCGCCCCTCCCCGCGCCCATTGGCTGCCCGGGGCGGCGCCCTCACCCATTGGTCGTCGCGGCAGGGGCGCCCCGCCCACCGCCTGGCGCTGCGTGTTCCCATTGGCTCGGAGCGCTGTCGATCCGCCAGCCAGCCCCGTGCTCCCGCGGGGAAGGGCGGGAGTTGCTACCGTCGCGCGCTTCCCCGCCCCGCTCGCTCATTGGGCAGTTAGAAAGGGCGCGGTGATCTGATTGGACGGCCCCACCTGTCAATCCTGGTAGTTCAACCCTGGGAGGATTTTCGCTGCTCATTGGACACCGGGCCGAGCTCACTTCTGCCTTCTGATTGGCTGTCGTACCTGCCATTTACAATAGCCGTGCTGCKGCCCCGCCCCACTCTTTTCTATTGGTTCTCTCCYWTAGACGCGGGTTCCCATCGTCCCTCTCAAAATCTCGCGAGTAGCCTTTCCCCGCCCCCTTTCCTCATTGGTCACTGGTYCCATCCGTCCCGCAGCTCTGATTGGCTCATCCCTACGCCGCTCACGAAGGAGCGCGCGCTGCCCACCAACTCCACTCCTGGTTTATCATTGGGCGAGAAAATCTCCCCAGGCATCTGATTGGGTGCAGACRGGCAGCGTGCTGGTTGGCTGGGCTATAAATCAATCATGCTTGCGCTGATTCCGATTGGTCGTAACGGGGAGGGGGGCGGTCCGGGGCAGAGCTCTCGGTGCGGCGGTGCCTGAGGGCTCAGAGCGCGCCGGGCTGCGGTGCGGAGGGGACGGTGCGTGTGGGCTCCGTGTCTGTCCCGTCAGCTCGCTGGTACACCAGCCGGGCTGCACTGAACGTGCCGAGGGTGGAGAGGAGAAAGCTTGGCTGCATTCAGTGCCTGTTCCGTCCTTCCCCTGTTTCTTTGTGCGTGTSCGCACCAGGGAATACAGCGGAACGCTGCCGGTGCCGCTGCGAGAGCCCCGCAGGTCTGTGGGGCACCCCAGGGCGCGGCCCGCGCTCCTCTGCAAGGATTGTCTTGTGGCACGGTCACACCTTGCTCGGGACCTCCAGACCGCTTGAAATATTTACCATTCAAAGCTTCACAACACAGTGGTTGTCCTTATACATCCTTGCTTTCACCAGTGGTCCCATCTTTCCGTTTTGGAGAGCTGGAGCTCGGAGGTTCTCGCAAATGGGGAAGAGGTTTGGGTTCTGTCTGGGGTGAAGGCGCCGCCGTGGCCTCAGGGTCAGGGAAACCCAATTCCCGTGGAGCAGGAACGGCTCTAATCCCTGYGTTTTGTGAGGATCCRGCTCTAATCCCTGTGTTTTGTGAGAATCCCGCTGCCCTGGGCGCTTTCTGCGCTTTCTCCTGTTCTGCTCTGCCTGTGGGAAGTGTGGGTGGGAAAAAAAAAAAGGGGGAGAAAGCTGAGGCAGGGCTGGATCCCACAACCCTGCTGCAACTGCTGCCCCTGCGTCCTACAATCCCATAAATCATCCCCCTAAACCCTAATTTCCCCCAATAATACCAGAATTCCAGCACCCAAACTCCAATTTCACTCTCAAACCTCCAATTCACAACCAAACCACAGCTGGAATTCCTCAAGCCCCAATTTTGCACTCCAAACCCTCATGTCAGCACCTCTTCATTTCTCCATCCAAACAAGAGATGCATCTCTCAAACTTAAAAAAAAATTTCCCTCCCTAAGGTCCAACTTCAGCCCCAAACCCCAATATCATCTTCCCAAACCCTTGTATCACCCCCTACTATTCTATCTTTCAAACCCCAATTCATATCCCAACCACTCATTTCACCCCCTAAATCCTAATTTCTTTCCCCCATAACCTAATTTCACCCACCAAACACTCATTTCATTTTCCCAAATCCTAATTCCACCATCTCAAAGTTCAGTTTCTTCCCCCAAGCACTAATTTCACCCCATCAGACCCTGATTTTATATCCTAAACCCCTATTTTCATCCCCCTGAACACTAATTTCATTCCAACAAACCCTAATTTCACCCTGTAAACTGTGATTTCACCCCATCAACCCCCAGCTTCATCCCCCAACCCCAATTTCACCCCCACAACTGCAATTTCACTTCCAAAATCCAATTTCACCCCACCAAATCCCAGTTTTATTCTCTCAAACCCCAATTTCACCTTTCAAACTTCAACATCATTCCACAAACTCCGAGTTTCACACCAAACCCCAATTTCACCCTCCAAATTCTTCGTTTCACCTTCCAAACCCCAATTTCACCCTACCAAACCCCATTTTGATTGCCTAGCCCCTAATTTCACCCCCTCAAGTCTCAATTTCACCCCACCAAGCCCAAATTTCTTCCTCCCCATTCTTATTTTCACCCCTCCAGAGCCAACTGGAGAATTATTCATTCTTGTCTGTCATCAACACAGCAAAATCCAGCAGTTCTTGGGGAGGAATTCCCTGGAACTCCATGGAAATCTGCGATGTTTCAGCTCCTCTGGGTCATGTTTGACAATCCCAGTCTGAAATTTCTCCCAGGAAATCAGGAGAGCAGAAGGCACAGTGTTCCCTCACCGAGTGCCGTGTCCTCACGTCTCTTGTGTCACCCCAAGGAAATCTGATCKCTCCCAGGAATTAATCCAGGAGGGAGAATGGAATCTGATTGTTTTAGCAGTGGCCATTAGGCTGTGTCTGTCCCTGTCCTGTCGTCCTCTGGCACGGGGACAGAGGCTYCTGAAGTTGTGGGAGGGTTTCAGTGGTGGGTAAAGGGCTGATGAGGAAATGATTCGAGGTTGGAAAAGCTTTCCAAAGACAATTGTGTGCAACCTGTGCCAAATCCCCACCTGGTCACCAACCCAGAGCCCTGAGTGTCACATCCAGGCGTTCTTTGGACACCTTCAGGGATGGGGGCTCCAAACCTCCCAATKCCAGACCACCCTTTCCATGAAAAAATTCCTCCTGGTGTCCAACCTGACCATCCCCTGGCACAGCCTGAGGCYGTTTTCTCTCATCCTCAGGGACACCTCCCACTGTCCCAGGGTGCTCCAAGCCCTGTCCAGCCTGGCCTTGGACACTTCCAGGGATCCAGGGGCAGCCACAGCTTCTCTGGGCACCCTGTGCCAGGGCCTCCCCACCTTCCCAGGGGCAATTGCTTCCCAATATCCCATCCATCCCTGCCCTCTGGCAATGGGAAGCCATTCCCTGTAGCCTGTCACACTGGGCCCTTGTCCCCAGTCCCTCTCCAGCTCTCCTGGAGCTCCTTTAGGCACTGTAAGGGGCTCTAAGGTCTCCTTGCAGCCTTTCCAGGCTGAGCATTCCCAGTTCTCCCAGCCTGGCTCCATAGCGGAGGTGTTCCAGTCCCCTCAACAACTTCATGGCCTCTTCTGGGCTCACTCCAACAGTTCCACATCCTTCTAATGTTGGGGACAGCAGAACTGCATGGACCGTGATTTATAAGTACAGATTTTGGATTGACGGGAACGGTGTTTGGAATCTACACTGAGCTTCTGAAACTTAGATTCTTCTGTGTAACCACCTGAACTCAGCAGGTGTTTCAGAGCCAGACCTACGGTGATTTTGGAGCTCGGCTCGTGTGGATCATCACCAGGAAGCTGTGGAATACAGATACAATGAGGTGGATGTGATGAGATGAAGTGACACAGAGATGTGTGCAGAGGAGCCTCGGYTGATCCGTGGATCTGTCACAAAGGCTTGTCCCAGCTGCTGCTCCCAGCTGGATCGAGCTGCTCCCTGGGGAGACACAGCTGAAGGACAAAGCTCAGACATGATTTCCTTTGGAAAAGTTGTTACTGTGTCAGGATGGTTCCATTTTATATCAATACGTCACTTCCAGAGCCGCTAGAAAGGGTTTTGGAGGTTAGGTTGGAGTTGACTGAGGAAYGAGACACAGCAGCCAGCAGCTTTTAGGGGCAGAATATCCCAGTGTACAATAAAAAGCAGTCTGGATTGGATGCTCCCACATCCCATACACAGACCACTCCCCTCCAGCTCCTCTCCTTGTCTTCCATTGTGTCTATAGGATTATGGAACCCCAGACTGGTTTGGGTTGAAGGGACCTTAAAGCTCATCTCCTTCCACCCCCTGTCATGGGCAGGGACACCTTCCACTAGCCCAGGTTGCTCAGAGGAGCTGAGGAATCACTCAGCGAGGTGAGAGAAAACTGCACAACAGACCATAATGTGCCATATTTCAGCTTCATCTGAAATTTTTCAGTTACATCTGGTAAAACCTGGCACAGTTCCACAGCTGGAGAAGAAATGCATCACTTTAACAACAARTGATAGCGATTTCTGTCTCCAAGGTCCTCTCCTCTCCCCTGTGGTGCCTGGGGTTGGGAGAGAAAGACAGGGATTAAAATTCCTCAGCAGATGAGTCACAGGGTAAAAGACACCTTGGGGAGGGGACTGGGCCACATCACCACAGGAACGGGCCCTCTTGATAGACATTTAATCTGATTTTACTCCTCCTGACCTGCTCCTTCCAAGGGGAGACTCTTCTGGATTTTTCCACCTCTCCATCAGCTGCTGGCGATGTGGATCTCTGTGGACCTGTATAGATCTCTGTCAGTCTGTATGGATCACTGTGGATCTGTATGGATCTCTGTTCGGCAGTGCTGCTGTTTTTTGGAGTGGGTTTGGCGCTGGGAAAAAGCAGCACAGCACTGGGAAGGAGGTCTGGAGAGGCTCACGCTTTGTCAGGCCATGAAAAACGATCCAGCACAAGCAGGAATCTTCCCCCGGGCCCAGGCTGGAGTGCTGCACTCTGTTCTGCTTGTGCTTAGATATAAGTGTATGAATAATTCAGGTGCCAGATGGCCCTTGAGCCCCTGGCCTAGATCTAAACATCTAATTACAGCTGAATGTCCCTGCGAGTTGGGCGTCCAGGTCTCTCTGTGGAGCTGGGCTCATCCCGCAGGATATTTGGGTGTTGCAGAGCCATAGAAATGGGCTGTTTCCTGAAAAAAAAACCAAAAAAAAAAACCCAAAAAAACCCCATTCTCTTGGGGTTTAAC